TTTTTTTTTTTTTTTTTTTTTTTTTTTTTTTTTTTTTTTTTTTAAACATAAGGCAATGGGAATAAGAAGGAAATAAGAAAATTTAGAGTCATAATGAATTAAGCCAAAGCATTTTCCATAATCCATAGAACTAGGGCCATGGGGTGAGAGGGTAGGTAGAAGAGGGTAAAACCAAGACCAGAAAATTGCCAAGGTGAGACTGAAACTTTGTGCGGGCCACCTCATTAACAAATAGTAATTGCATGGCTATGACCCTGTTTTCTTAATTCATTTCCGTGGCCACTGGACAGTGTCTTGCTTCTGCACATGAGCTGTGTTTTGGCTCAAAGCGTGCCCATTCTCACGCACACCAGCAGCCCTTAGGGACTGCAACACTGCAGTCACAGCGTGACGCCTCTGCCACCCATCTGATTTTGTTTCACTGGTTAGCTCTCTAGTGCTCTATTTGGACCAAACTCTACTGGTTTAGTTCAATTCGAAATAAAACCTTTCCTGGCTTGAGGCCGTGTCTGCCTGTTGCCGTTGAAGGCAGGTGAACGCTGGCTATGGAGGAGTTGACTTTTGCTCTCTGCAGTGCTCTACTACCTCTCTGCAGCCACAGGTGGCAAATGGCTCTGCTGCTGCTGCCTTCAGTTCAGAGCAGCTTCTCCCACACGCGTCTCTGTCCGTTGTGTGAACAGAGCTGCTTTGTCGAGCGCGGCGCTGTCGCCGTCGCGGGGTCGGTGGTCGAGGCCTGAGCCTTGCACGCTGCTGCGGGGCGCCCTCTTCTTCACTGTATTTCCCTGGAGCATGAAATCCATGCGGGTCGTGTATCACAGCTGAATTACCCAGTCACTGGGTGCTTCTGGAGGGATGTTATGGTATAACAGATGTTTTGCCAAGTGAGAATTACATTTCCATATACTCAGTGTTGGTTTTCAAAAGTGAGACTGGCTTTGTTTCCTTGTTTCCAAAGCATTTAGTTGTTGTTTTTCCTCTAAACTTTCTACTACACTTTAATTTTTTTTTTAACTTAAAGAGGTTAAAAAAAAAAATGAGCCCTTTCATCCTCTTTCTGTATTCTTATAGTAGCTTTTCAGTTTGTTGAGGAGCTTTTTGGTGGATGTCTGCAAGTCTGCAGTTTTTCAGTTTGCTGAACATGTTGGTCTTGGCTGGAGCAGTTTTAAGTAGAGCCGCAGCTGTAAGAGGTTAACTTTTCTTCCAGTTACAATGAAGAAGAATACATTTTGTTAGCTTTAAAGAAGTATTTTTGAAAAGCAGTAAGTTTGTGATTGGCTTTGCAGCTTCTCATGGTGGTGGATGTGTGAAAGGAGGGAACAGAGAAGAGGAGCATGGAGAGCAGCTCGACTGTGGACAAGGAGCTGCCACGTGGCCTGCAAGGGCCTGCAAGGGGGATCTGAGGTGGCAGCACGTTGCAATTCCAGGGCAGAAGGGATGGCTGCAGATGTACCCGTCTGAACACATGGCACGATATGGAAGTTCTGCACGGATCCCTGGAAGACCCGTGGTGTTAGTGGCAGGAGTCCAACGTGGGTTTGCATTTTCGTTAGCTTGCAAGGTAGCTATTCAGTGTTCACCACTGTAAACTTTGCTGTCCTCTTCTGCCTTTTATTACTTCAGTTTGTGTTTGCTCATGGCCCAGGGATAGTGGTTTGTTAGGAAGTGGATCCCGCTCTCCGCCATCAGCTCCTTCCCTAGCTCTCCTGCACGGGATGTGCTGTGTCCTGTGCAGGAGAGCAGCTCTGTGTGATTCCTGTGGATGTAGCAAGAAGCAGTGATGGTGATAACTGTTATCAGCCACCACTAAGGAGCAAAATAGCAGGGTAGTTCATGATATGTATTTTAAAGGTAATGGCAGCTGAGAAACTTGGCGTAGAAAGTTGATCCAGGTGGTCCTCTGAGCTTTCAGTCTGAGCTAATCTGTGCAACCAGCACTAGTATCTCTTCAACAGCATCCAAGAAATCATCATTTCCACCATCATTAACGGTGACTCAAGCAGGTAGCACTTCTAAGAGTGGAACAGAGGCATTTATAAGTATTTTTGATACCTTACACCAAACATCTTCCTAGAGAAGTGTTACATGTCACTATATGCAGGAGAGTAGCTGGCTGTCACTTCAGGATGCCAGTTCCTATGTCTGACCTGCAGAGTGCTTAAATTGGCCTTTATTGAGTAATCTCCAGATATCCCACTTAGTAGCTCATACTTTAATTCTCTCTGCTCCTCATAATATCCTAGGTAATTGAATATATTCATGATTTACATGCATGCTTGTAGCAGGAAAAAATAATCAAAAACTTTATGCATCTAAAAATAAATCTCTAATGTGATTGTAGCATTGAGATTGAAAAACCTAATAATCTAAGTGCAATAAATTTCAAGTTATAGCTTCCTTCACAGCATTGATTAGTCTACATGGAGCCCTATATATTTTATTGCCCAGGCTGTGTTTTCAGGCAGTAGTACATGAAGAAGTGTGCGTGTGTGTGTATGTGTGTGTGTATATATATATAAAATATATGTAGGTATATACCTGAAGTATGCCAGAGTTAGTGTTACTAGAGGAGATGTAGTTTTGAAACTTAATGTTTTTTCTGCCTATTTTTGTGAATTTCACACTGTACACTTGATTTCTAGACTACTTTTTTTTAGAAAAAAAATGTTTGGGGAAGGAAGTGAGATAGTTTCACATGATAATCTGTTCTTTATTCACATGTAGAAAACTTGAATCAGTCTTAACCAAAAGCTGAGTCAACAGACATTTGAAAAGTGTGAAAACAAGTGAGCAAAGCATCCTGTTGTACTTGCATTCAGCAAGGCACTTAGCTACCTAAGCCTAGGGCTCCTGCTAAGGCATTTCTGAGCATGGTCAGTATTTTGAACTGAATGGAGGAAAAAAAATTGGCTTAACTACAGCCCAGCAGTGGCTATAAAATTCCCCAATATAAAAATAGCAGAGCTATATCTATTAATCTGGTTTTAAGCCTCACTGAGGACCAGATAGAGTCATTATGGTTGGAAAAGACTGGTCCTGCCCTAAAATCTCATGCTCTTGTGACTAATGCTGCTTAGAGTCAGCAGCAGTAATTTTAGCTTAGACTCTTTCTATACTGCATAAAAATCCTGATGTGCTAGAGATTAGCTTGAATTGGCAATATTTTTTCCCAGTATAAGCAAGCAGGCCTCTGTGACCATCTCACCACTTGTCAAATTTCTGTTATTGTATTGCATTACCTACCTCATGGGATGGTGATTTGTTGTTTTAAAGTTTTTATAGTGTTCCTAATATATGAATTATAAGGCTGTGTGTTCTACAGTTTTCTATTGGAACCAGGATCTAGACCTGGATGTAACTGTGGAAAATCAGGTTTATTGTTACTAATGGCTCTCTGGCAAAAATCCCACAGTTCAAAAGCCTTGGAGAACACCAGGCTCTGTTGGCTGGATCAAGACCTGGTTTGGTTTTACAGTGCCCATCAGCAGGGACCAATGGAAAATGTAAGAAATGGAACATATTGACAGGTGTCCTGGTCTTCTGGTCAAGAACATTTGGAGATCGCATTTGCAACGCTGTGTTTAGAAGCTCTGGACAGCAACTATCCATGCACGGGCATGCTAGCATATCTCCTGAAAAGTTTTTGTGTGTGAGGAATAATGAATCGTCCTTCCCTTGGCATGCTGAAGTGCATTTGGATGTGCTGAGATGTGATAAAAATCTCTATAACCTCTGGATTTAGTGTCTCTTCATATGAAAGCCCTTCTGTGCCACTAGTCCCCCCGTCTCTGTTTTTGTTGTCGTTTTTCTGCTACATCCTTTCTGAAACTTACTGATTAAATTGAGGAAAAACAGCCAAGAGGGTACACATTGTAGTGCAAGAAGGCACAACATGAGAACATAATTTGTTTTATTCTCTGTCTCCTTCCTGAAATTTGCTAGTATTCTTTTTTCCTTTTTGCTTTGCTTTCCTTTCTTGACATGGGAGCATCAGGTCAGTGTTTTTGAAGAACTATCACATATTTCAGATTTATTCGGATTGCAAAATCAAACACTTGAAGGGCCAACATGTCAGAGTAAAGGTTTTCCCTGCAATTTTATTCAGGTCCTCAGTGTCTCTTCTGATATTTCCTTTAATTAAGTTGAGGGTTTTTTTTTTTAAGCAGAGGACATCTGTCTCATTCAGTGTACACAGTGGCTGCGGCTCATTAAAGAAGCTATTTAATATTTTATTCTTTATTTACTCAATGTGCAGTTCTATCCCTTACGTACTGGATGGTATTCAAATCCTGCTGTAAAAGTGCATTTATTAATTCTCTTGTAAGCTTTACAGAAGATCCCATTACTATAGTTTCTGAATGCTTCATAGGTAATAATTAAATTTAATTTTCAAAACTCTCCAGTGGGAAGAAAAGTCCTTGGACTTTTTAAAATAATGAACAGAAGTTGAGAGAGAAATTACGTTTTAATCACTTGCTGCTGCTTCTTTTGGGCATCTGAACTGTGGAAGTGTGCCCAGCATTGTTAAGATTGTATTTATTCAAATTACAGCTTCTGTTGACTTCAGCTGCCTTGGTAAGTTTTCAACATATAAGTAAATCAGGCCCCGGAATCACATTAGGCCTTTGAGAAACTCGTAATTAGCGACAATGAGCGACGGTTTTCCTTGGACAAATCTGCCGGGGCTGCGAGAGCGGGCTGGGAATGGAGCCTGGGAGTGAGCGTGGGGCTGCCTGCGCTGCAGGGCGCCCGCCTCCTCCTTCCCAGCCCCTCATCTGGGAACCTGTGCGGGACGTCCCGGGCCAAACCAGGCGGCAAACGGCAAGGAGGTCCCGGGATGTCCCAGGCCAAACTGGGCTGCAAATGGCAAGGAGGTCCCGAGGGAGAAGCGCCCGCGTGTGGGCATGGGATGAAGGCTCGGGTTGTGTCCTAGGCAAAGCAGGGTAGATTGGTGTTTTCCTTATGATGTATATATTGCATACGAGTGTGCACTAAAAACCTGGAGAAACTGCAGCAAACAACATGGCAATCAATCTACTAAGAGCCAAATGGGATGTGTTCATGGCTGTATTTTCCAAATAAAATAAGCAGATTCTCCTCCTGCCCTGCCCCCCTTTTGTTAGCTTTCACAAAAGACATTTTCTTCCTATACTTGGCCATACCCAAGCCGCTCCTTTCAGGATGCTCTAGATCTGTTAGGACTAAATCATGCGTGGTGTAATCCCAATTCAGTTGACGGCAGCGTAGTTTTATCTCTTTAATGCAATGGACGCTTGGCCTATTTTTAAATTCAATTATGGAACTCATGCACTTAAGCGTTTTGGAATTTCTTCTCAAAGCAGCCTTTTGAAATAGGTAATAGCTTGCTTCAGTTTGGGTTATAATTATAAATAAAAGAGGAGCAGAGAATCTCTTAGCTATAGGGGCCCAGCTGCTAACAATACCCCTTTTGTTTCAGGCAGTGCCTTTCATCAAGGGGTTTCAAAGCAGCTTTAAAAAGTCAACTCCAACTAATTTATTCTCAAGTCCTTTGTCTTATTTATGTGTTTAGAGTAAAGGGAAACATCTTTTCCTATTAATGGGCTCTTTAGTGCTATTGTCAGCTGTGCCAGGAATGTGTGTTGCTGCTTTGCATGCTAGGAGATCCTACCTAACCAGTTCTTGCAGTGCTGCTGCTCGGACCAGATTTATAATAATCTTTGGTTTGCCCTCGAGGCTTTCCACCTTAGCAAAAGAGCTGTAACTCCATGCCATAGTTGTGAAATCTTGACCTTCCATGGGAATGGTGCTCTTGCTTCTTGGTCAGGAAGTGTTTACGGGAAGTAAATAAAAGGCAGAGCTGAGTCTGGAGTGAAAATGTGAATGTTCTCCAACAGAAAAGCATTTTACCCAAATGATTCAAGAATTGGTTTCCTCACCATCATTTACTGCGAGGAAAAAGACCACGCTTCTAAGCTGTGTATTGCTCTGCAAGCATAACTGAGTTCAAATGTGTGTGTTGATATAGATGTATGAATCCTTGTGAAAGCACATATTTTTGTTGGCTGGACTTTTTTCTTTCCTTATAAGAATGCCAGTGGGAAAATGAGCGATGGCTCCCCTCGCAGCTCCCCAAATTTCCAACTCTTTAATTGTTTTCTTTGCCATCAAATATTTTAGGATTTTGCTTGCATAGACAAATGTCAGATAAATTCAGCTGAGTAGACAAAAGAGCAGTTACTGACTTTGGTGTCGCACTTCAGAAGGTCGTGAGTTGGATCATTGATGTCTTGCCTGGGTATGAGTTGTTACTTATATCGACATTCCAGATGACAAAGATGTTTAGTTGAATCCTATTTTCTCTCTTTCCCTTTTTGAGATTTATTTATTACACAGCTTTTTGGCAAAATACTGAGAGGGACAAATGCCCGTTTGTTACAAAAGACTATACTTTGGCATATAACATTGGGAAAATCTTTTCCCCTGGTATTCAGTGCCTTTTTCGTTTTGAGGGACGTTTTAAAACTTTAATAAGTCTCTCCCTACTGTGGTGAGAACTGATTTAAACCTGTCACTGCTTTACAGGGAAAACTGAAGCGTGTAGATTAAGAGGTTAGGTTAAGATTTTGTAAATCCCTGGATTCAAATCCTGTACTTAGCCAACCATCAAACTTGATATCCTGGTTTTAGATGCTAAAAATTAAGCAGTTACGGTTGTAAGTTTGTGTTTTGTCTTATTATTAAAATGAGTTAAAATGTGCATTTAGAGTATATATTTTTTTTTAATCATGGCTGACAGAATTCAAAGTCCACTTAAATAGCTAAAGAAGTTCTCTAAGGCTTCAGTCATGCCTGAGTGGAATGAAAAGAGGAGTAGCATTGAATTCAGTTGGTATTTGGGAAGCAAAATGCACAGGGCAGAAAATAATCTAAAAAAACCCTTCATCAGGATATACAAGTAGATTAATATAAGCACACGCTGCCTCCCAACACTGCCCAGGTGTGTGTACTGGAATTATATCCCATTTATCTGCTCTACAGTCAGTTTGGCAGGAGGAGTCTCAGTCTGACACAGGCCTGTGTTTTCAAGCAGAGTTGTGATCTGTTGAAAGAATTTCATACAATTAGAAACATTATGGCTTTTTGCAAGATATTTATAAATAACGTTGTTAATTTTTGTGCTTTAAGATGAATTTCCTGGCACAGAATAAGCTTGATGCTCTTGGAGGAGCTTGCATAGATCCGTCACTGCAGTTTGTTTAAACCCCAGTGAAGAGTTTGTTTTGAGAAGCAGAAATAGACGACTCTGATATTTGGGTAAAAAAATGCCATATTTGAGTATTTCCTGCAGTCAATCTGTAAGAATAGATGAGGGCCATAGAAGTCAGACGTTCTCCTGTGCGGTCTCTGCAGTTTTGCTGTTCAGATTTCCTGACTCTGGCTGCCTTTGTGTGCTCTGAACAGGTTGTCTCCCGGGTCGGACGTCTACGTCACCGTTTCATCCATGGCCTTAGCGAGGTCGCAGCAGTGCCGTAACTCTCCAAGCAACTTATCCTCCTCCAGTGAGACCGGCTCTGGTGGGGGCACGTACAGACAAAAATCTATGCCAGAAGGGTAGGCACTAGATTTTTTCATATTCTTTCAGGCCCTGTGGTCGTTTTTGTTCTGTTTGTTGTAATGTACGTTAAACTGCAAAGAGTGCTCGCGGCCTCTTGGCGACTGTTCTTTATGTGCATTAAAAAATGTTTGTTTTCAAATCTCTCTGTCATGCCTCTTGAAAAAGTCAGGGTGGAAAAAGCCCTTGCTTTCAGCTTTTCCCTTTGCAGCCTAAGATTGCTGTCTGGTCCTGGTCTATGACAGAGCTCAGGTTACTATGCACAGGGACTTTGATGTGTCTAAAAACAGTCATTAAAGGAATCAGTTTCCTATTGTGAATTGCTTCATTTCACAGGTTTGGATTCTAAAATAAAATGAGTAATGGGTTTGGGGCTTTGCAGTCTGTGCTGATAGTTGAAGTGCAAAAGCAGCGAGTGCAGCTAAAGACTTGAGATGTGAAGGCACAGTCGTGCTAAGCGATCCACAGGTTGCTCAGCTGGTGTCTCCATCACGTCCTCCCCATCACCCCGAGTTAAGGCTGCGTCTTCCAGCTTTCCAGAACTATTAAGTTCCCAGAAATGGCCCACTGTTTAACATAAGGGCAACTTGCAGAGGAAGAAATTAAATCTGTATCGTTTTCAGAGAACACTGAAAGCAGCAATAAATCAAACATCTCGTAAGTAGGAGAAGAAGAAGAATTGGCAGCAAGAGAGCCATCTATCACATTCCAAAATACTCCCCACAGAGAAGGGAAAAGGAGGAAAGCTGCTGATATTTCCCATTGCCAAGCTTCCCTCCAAAGCCTCCTTGAGTACTTTGCAGCTCATTGTGCATAATCCACTCCAGTTTTGGTTTTCTATAAAGTTGAAACATCTTTTTTCTATTTAAAAAATAAAAAAAAGGCATGTGTAAATCCCATTGTCAGCAACTACTTAGCACAAAACACTGTTTTTGCCTGTTTAGATTCCAGCAAAGGGACACTACCCCGTGTCAAGTCCTGACAAAGCTGTGCTGAGCCTGCAGTTTTCCCTTGCTCCAGGGCAATGGAGGTTTGTCCTCCGTGTGTTCTGCTTCCCCGAGTTTAAGGTTTCCTTAAGAGATTGTCCTCTTTGCTGTGCACTTTGGTGATGATCTTGATTCATGAGACTGTCTCTGTTCAGGCCATTATTTAAGCTTGTGTTTAATTCCTACTGAAGCTAAGAAGTCTGTGCTAAACTCGTTAAACTGTGCTGTAAGGAAACTAGAGAGAAGAGTATCCAGAGCTCCACCTCTGGGAGAAAAGCACTTAACCTCGTTGCAGACCCCGCACTGCTCCAGCTCCCCCAGCCCTGCCTGCTCTGCTCCAGCTGTGCCACTTGGTCTACAAGAGGTATTGCCACCATATGTCCTTAGGCCCTCACTGCAATCGCTGCAGGGATTTGGGGGCACGTGGTCGGGTTTTGTTTCTCAGTTGGCTTCGGAGCACACCAGCACCCTCCCCAAATGTTTCCAGTCTTTAATTACACACGTGTGTTCAATACAGCATCTTTCACTGAGCATTTTGCAAAGAGCGTCCTAGAAGATTTTCATGGACAGTTTTCGGTTTGAAAGATTTAGTAATTTAGTCTAGTAAAAATTGGTTTTAGTGGAATAATGAAAAAACTAAGGCATGATCTTGTTTGATCCTTATTGACTGATCTTGTTTGATCCTTATTGACTGATCTTGTTTGATCCTTATTGACATTTTTTTTGAAAAACTTGAATTCCAGTTATTTAGCTGTAGCATTCTATTCAAACAGGAAAAGTGCCTTGCTTCCCACACTGTTCTCATACATGTGAATCATTTTTTAATAAAACTTTTGAAATATTTTCTACTGGGCTAGAGGGAAAGCGTGAAAAATGCTTTCCCTTGCCTTAGTAGGCATAAAAGTGTCACCTAACTGAGAAAATCATCCCTCCTAGAGGCGTGTGCCTCTTGGGATCCGCCTGAGGGACCAAGTTGAGGGCAGCTCTGTAGTGCAGCTGTGGTGGCTGATGTGCCAGGTGGAACTGGTGAATGATGGACCCATACGTACTGTTAAAGTACAGGAGAGATTGTAGCATTCAGTTGCTGAGATGAAGTCCTGGTGCAGGAAAGGATGAAAGGATGTGGCTGGGGCTGGCACATGGCTGAGGGGGCGCCATGGTCCTGAAGGGAATCCCGAGGAGAAGCTCCTGGGTGCACATCTTGGATCCGCAGGATGTCCCCAATGCAGGAAACTCGACTGCATCATGTGTGTGTACATTTCTTTTTGTTGCATGATATGACAGCTCTGGAAAGTCTGAAACCGTAAGTGCCCGGAAGCGTGGCTGTGAGCCCAGCCTTTGGCAGACATCAGTAGGAGCAGTTGCTGCTGCTAGATTGTTGGTCCCTGTCCTAAGCTGGGCGTAAGCAAAAACTCCACTGACTTCAGGAGTGTCCACCTGGGTCTGGCTGTCTGTGTGTGTGTTTTGTATACTCAGCCGGTGTTTGCCTAGAGGTACGTATATGTAGTAAGCACTAAGAGAACATAGAAGGGAAATTAGAAAACACTGGAATAATCAGCTTCTGCCTATGGTCATACACCCAAAAAAATCCTTTTTTTAAGGAGACTGATCTCCTCTCTGATTTTGTTGGGTTCTGCCCCACACTCCCAGAAGGCCTCTATATTTAATCAGCATAAGACTACAGCATCACATACACTGGTTATTCACACTTTTAAATAGCTACTTAACAGGGAATAAAGAAAGAAAGAAATTGTGTTTCTTAATTAGTATAGCAACGATTAGAAAGAAGCAAGATTGACATCCAGCCTTAAAAACAACTACCAGACAAAAACGCCTGCACACTATAAAATGAGTCCTATGTGACTTTGCATAAATATGAACATCATGGATTTAGGTAAAAAACTAACACATAGAAAGTAAACTACTCATGCAACACAACTTGATCTCACCAAATTTGTTGTTTTTTTTTTTTTTTTTTTTTCTTTTCTTTTTTAATTTTCATTTTTTATTATTTTATCATGGAAAGATGCTCTTGCTAATATACTTTACAAGTGGTTAAAGCGTGAAAGCTGTCTCAAATCAGTGAGGAAGGAATCAATCAGCTTTTCAAAACTTAGATGCTTATTCTTTTCTATGCACCTATTTGAATTTATGTTGAATTGGTTGTGTTTAATTTAGATATTTGATTAAGTGGAATCCTAGTTACAGCCTGTGGGGGACATGGGTGGAAAGGGAAGGCCCTTGGCCACAGCAGCAATTTCCATTTGAAGTGTTTGGGCTCATGGGGCAGGTGCATGGAGGTGATGCTCTCTCCACTTCCTTGGTCCATCAAGCAGTATCTGTCAGCTCTACCAGGGGGCACTGGGCAAAGGGGAAGCCGGGTCACAGTGGTGTGAAATTGAGCCAGAGTTCAGCATTTTGTTATTTTAGGTCTCTACCATCTATACACATATAATCCAGCTCTTTGCCCTTAAGATGGGTAACACCCCAATTATTTCTTTAGATACTCAGAGCTAGAGAACCCCTTTGAGGTACACGGAACATCTCAGCGTGGTGGGACTCTTTGGAGGATTGCTTTGTGCATGTAGAGGTTTTTCGGCCCCTCCCTAGGGGCATACCAGATAAATACAGTCAAAATGCCTTGTTCTTTAAGGTTTCTTAACGTTTACTCTCTTAATTCTGGACCCGACTGGAATTCTTATGAGGCATTTGTATACAATACTGAATAATAGATGCAATTCTTAGAAATTTAAGCATATAATCCAGGTAGACTTCCATGTGACACAGCAACATTGTGCCTGTCCTTGGTGATTATGTTGTTCTCCTTGACTTGAGTTTACCTTTACGGAGCTTTCCAAAAGACATCTGAGGGCAGAATAATCTTGCAAGATTTACAGCCAAAGTCCATCCAACCCAGCTCTCTTTGACTCCGGATGCTTTTTTTGCCACAGCAACAAATGTGCATGTCTCATTGTTTTCCTGTGACTGTATTTAGTTTGTGTTAATCAGTTCTACTCAGTTTATTTATGATTCCATAACGGCAGCATTTACAGAATTTATACTTCTCAGATCAACTATATAAAGCCTTAATTGCAATATATGGCAACGTCGTGTTTCCCCAAATGCATTTTTGTGGTGTTTGCCTGTGCGTCTGTGTCATCTGGATGGATCTAATAATAGGAGCAGTCTTTTGTTTAGAACCTCGGAAAAGTGCCTGGGATCCATGGATTGTCCTCAACAACCTTCCGGTGCTCGCTTTGACTAGACTGGGATAGTAAAACTGATCCCTCCTTGAAGTCCTCTCCCTGTGAAAATGCCTCATGCCCCTCTGTGCCTTTTGTCCAAGCTTTGCTCCAAGGTTTTGTTCGCTTGAGTCAATTTTCTGTAAGCATTTAACTCTCTAATCACCTTTCTGTTTAAAAATCTGTGTAAACGAAAACTGAAATCTTCATCTGGATGGTTGGATCTGCTTTTGAGTTACATGTTCTGAAACCAAATCTTCCTGAACGAAGACACTCAGTGAACTGATGTGCTGTGCGTTTCCCCGAGAACTGCCACAAATATTAAAAAGAAAAAGCATTCCAAACCCCTCAAGCAGTTGTGCTTTGCATTCCTCTGCCATATTATTTGACATAGGTAACTTTCTTACATGTGGGGGGAAAACAGCACTTTTTTTTTTTTTTTTGAGATTTATGCCTATTTAAAACCATTGTCTGCTTTGTTTTTGGGGTTTCGCAACAGGTTTGGAATGAGCCGTAGATCCCCTGCTTCCATTGACAGGCAGAGCACGCAGACAGACACGGGTGGGAGCGGCAAATCCACCCCCAGCTGGCAGAGGAGCGAGGACAGTATCGCTGACCAGATGGGTAGGTAATTAATGTTTTTACAACAAGCAAGCGGTGCTACCACAAGGTGACTTTGGCAATACGTTTTTTCCGTGCAGAGGGAGAATCCTCTTAGGCGCCGTTTGCTGTGCCTTTGCAAGTTAACCTTGCTCATCAGGATGGAGAATTAGATCCTGGGTAAAAGCTAGCTTCTGTGTCCTTGAGACCTGTGAAAATCACCTGTGGAAGAACTGACATGACTGTGGGACTAAATCTGCCTTAATGTTTTTACTGTGCCACACGATGTCCTTTTTAGAAGCAGTTGGGTAGACGTGCTTGTTAATTTGTCTTGCTGGTGAGGACTTGCTTGACCTTACCTGCTCTTTCCAGTGGTTTGGCTTAGTTTAATTTTTTTTCCTCAGTTTTCTGAAGTGCCTGTGATGATGCTCCCTTTCAAAAGGTGCTATGTAAATGCAAATTGATTGTTTGATCGTTGAAGCTGTAAAAATCCCACGTACAAAAGGGAAAAAAATGCAATTAAAGTTTAAATAGTAAAATAGATCTATAGCTTGGTAGAATCGCTTTCCACCAGTGTATACATTTTCATTGCACTTGGCAATTAAGTTGTCAGCTGAGGGAACGTATTAACCACGTAAAACAGCTGGGTGCTGAGGATTTGCATTGTTAAGCCTTCATTTGGAGTTTCTGCACATAGAGCTTTTTCCTGCAGCCATGACTTGACTTAAGTGTGTGCTGCTCAGTAGATACCAGTGGAAATTTTGTCCTGGTCACAAGCAGTGCTGATTCAACGTGGTGAGCATGGCCAGGGTTTGCTAGATGTTGCTGCCTGAACTTTGTTACCATAAGTTAAACACTACTGTGCTTTTTCCATCCTTGCCTATGTACATCGTGGCTTTACTGCATCACAGCTCTTTACTTTTTCTGTGTAAGTGGGCCTATATTGAGTGCAGAATAATGTTCAATGAGTTCAGCAAGAGTTGGGTAAGAATATGGAATCTGCTGGTTCTAGAGATAAACTTTTTGCTCCCAAACCATCGGGACCTCACTGAGATGTGCCTGCTTATCAAAGCCATCTGCCAGGCCCTCCCTCACAGCTCCTCACACTACTGCTCTCATAAAAAGCTGCGATTATACTGATCTGCAGTTCTCATTTTGACAGAATGATTTTGAATCACATATGTTTTGATACTGTTGTCATGGTAACAACACATGTAAAACTGATCTTTTGCTCAGCATTACTTTTGCAGATCAACAGTTGTGTGTTGGTGCTGGCACTGAACAGACCTGCCAGCAAATTCTGTTCTGGAATGTCAGATGTCACCCCATCAGCAAAATAAATAAATAAGCCTAAAAAGAGCAGGAAAAAACGCGTGGCAGAAAAGATGGCTCCAACATTTGTCAGAGAAGTCCATACTGACATAATGCTGTGTTTAATCTCTTGTGTATCGTCCTGCCTTCAGAGACTGCCAGTTGGAAGCCACGTCTCTGACTGGAGACTTTATTGCCAGGCTGGCGAATGTAGGTAAAAGTTGGGTTCACTGCCACATGAGCACATTTCCACTTGACATATTGTGTCTCAAGGTAAATAAGCAGGTAGGGCAGCCAGTTCACACACACACTCCTTCCTGGCCCAGCCCTCTCTACCTAAGCCTCGTGGTGTTTGTGCACTGCTTGTTACCGCTTGCCAAAGGGGATCGAGTGAGTTTGGTTAAAAAGCGGGTTATGCTGCAGATCAGGATGAATAAACCATGGCTCCGTTGGGGAAAGCTCTTACAGAATGGCTGGCTACCATGGGTATTGTTAAACATATGTGCTTAAGAACATCAAACGCTGCTACAAAGCTGCGTTTTAGAAAGGCAGAATATTCCGTAAGCTTAGGAGAAAAGATCCACAAAATAGAACAAAGGAAGTTTCTTTTTAAATATTGACTTTTGGCTCTGAGAAAGCAAATAACTACTTGAGAGGCTGTGCCTGAACATCCTCTAAACCTCCATAGTTACATCCTAGGGAAAAATGAACTTAATGGACATAGAGCCCTCTTAGGGCTGCCCATGTAAGACGGGTCGCTGGTTTGAGCTCAGTCCTCCAATACCTGGGTTAGTTTAATAAGTGCTCTTTTCTTTTACAGATTTACGCAGTTTCCACTGTCACTGCCATTTGTGTTTTCTACAGACACTTCTTCTATTTCTTCCATTGAAAAGTACATGCTTAGCTTGCCTCGAGTAATGTTTGGTGCTTGTATTGGAGAAAAACGTACACGTTCAAGTGATCACTGTAGACTTTGGCTGTTAATGTCCTGCCTTGCATAGGATACTACTTAAGGAAAGCTAGGATTGAAGATTTTTTTAAAATCACTGATCCTCAGAAAAAGCACATATGGAGATATAATGGCTTTACACCATGAAAATGAGTAGTCCTCAAATATTCCACATTCTAGTGTTGCAGTCTGGCCCTTGTAGGCAACTGGGGCATGGTGCATTTCAGGTTTTTCTGATCACAGCCAGGGAGGCGTCTGCTGATGTTTCATGAAGTCTTCCTGATTTGCACCAGGCAGGAATCAGCCCTCCCGAACTCACCTGTGTTTTGCCATCTCAAGCATTTTTCATTTGAAATGAATTTCTTGTTTGGAACGCAAGGGTTTTGGCTCATAGTAGCAGTGGGGACAAATTGCAGCATAGCTGATGTGTTTTCTTGATTTGCTACACCACATAGACGCTCGTCAGTACGTTCTTGTGTGCTGTATTGCAGAACCAACATGCCATCTCCCAGCAGTATCAAAAGTGCTGCCGTCCTTCAGAGAGAGTCCCAGTGGAAGACTGATGAGGCAGGATCCTGTGGTTCACTTGTCTCCAAACAAGCAGGGTCATGTAAGTTACTTTAAAATAAGAAAAACAGAAGTTATTGAATGTTTTACTCCTGCTCCAGAAAAATAAGCCTGTCAGCTCTCAATACAGAAGGTGTTGTCCAGAGTTATATTTGGAGTGTCAGTTAAAGCAACAACAACAACGAAACAAAACCCCACAAAACACAAAATTTGCCTATTTAGAATATGGAGGAAGCAGCAGAGCAGATCTGTTACTTTCTGCATCTTGCAGAAGCTAAGCTCAGCCTTCTGAAGTATTTATTAGTTAACAGATTTCTGTTGCCTGTTGAACAATTTTTCAGCTGTTATCTTGTCCTAAGTACAAGGTTTGTAGGAGTTTGGGTTACACCTACAGTAAGTTTCCTTTGCAAATCCATAGCTATTTCTAGACCTCACATGTGAAACTTGAAGCTTACAAATACGCTATGTATGGGAAGAAGGCTTAGAAAAGTGCTGCCTTTAAATAGGAAAGTGATCATCTCGCTCTTGTTTTTGTATTTTCTTAACTTTCTTCAAGTGTAACTCTGATTTCCTTTAAGTATAACCTATCTTCAATCATTTTGAAATATTTTTTCTGAAAGTTCTGCTAGAATCCTGTTGAATTGAGTCCTTTTTATTTACATTTAATTTCTACATGGAAAATTATCTGTTCTCAGAGTTAGATATGCACACCATTTGGTGCCTGCAATGTCCGGATTCTTGCCAAAATGTGCATTAAGCTAGAAATGCCTTGAAAATGTTTTAATTACCTAGAATTAAAGCAAACAAACAAAAACCTTCAAACTGTTGTCCATTTTGCCAAATCATTTGTTTCTTTGTCAAATTGTATAGTTAGCTAAAATAGAATTGTATAGTGTGTTTATGCTGAAAGCATCGATCACATTTATTTAGGTGCAAGCTTAAACATAGAGCCACATCATGTTTGTCACTGACTTGCCTTCCAAATGATTCTATGAAATGATTCTGTGATTCTATGAAATGCAGCACTGGAGATGGTCCTGCTTGCAGTCATCTCGCTTAGTTGTTGTTCATGTTCTTTGTGTAGGCAGACGGATGGGGGCTTGAGTCAGTCTCTGGTGAAGAAAAGCAGCTCTTTGACTGGAGATATCTCGAATGAGTCCAGATTGGCTTGCTTAATATTCCGTCTGCCTTTCTGTCAGTTCTTGCTCTAAGAAACCTAAGACAACAAGGTTTCTTACTCTGAGTATATCCAGTCTCTATTTTCCAATGAAAACAGAAGCTGTCAGACTGAGCACTCCGTCTTTGTTACTTGAGGATCTTTGCCCCCTGAGTTGTTTGCTAAACCTACATGTGCAGACATTGCAGGTTATATAGATGATCAGAAAGATCATCAATAGTTTTTTCAGAGTTCAGGAATTAAGAAATTCCGAGGAGTATAAATACTTGAAAGGTAGACCACTAAATAACAATGAGCAAAAGGCAGGAATTTCTCTCTGTAATGAGCAATTCCACAAATACCCTCTTCAGAATTGAAGACTTTGGATTTTTTTCCGTTTCTTCATAGCAGCTGGCCCTCATCAACAACAGAATGCACAGGTCAGCCAGACCTGGAGTGCCCTGAAGGGATGGTTTTAGAGCACTGCATTAAAGCTTCTTTTCATGCAACTCTATCTTCTTTGAAGATGATTTCAGACAGTTAAGTTGCATTTCAGTGGTCATTTGCAAAGGACACTTCTGTCAGGGCATGTAATGCATAATGCATGTAATGCGAAAGTAAATGCATGTAATACGAAAAGGTAGGACAAGTGATGGGAGCTTTCCCATCACTCCCACCAGAGCAGAGCCCTGAATTGGTATGAAATTTGAGTTTAAGGCAGCCTCCTCAGAGTAACTATCCTCCAAGTAGAGATCCTGTTGGGCAGTGTTGACTTTAGTCACCCTTTCCTTCTCTTCTCCCACCCCGTTGCCCTAAGTCTGAAATAAACCCGTAGGTTTGTCTTTGGATTGTTTTTCCCTGCAGTCTGACAGCCACTACTCCAGCCATTCCAGCAGCAATACTCTCTCCAGCAACGCCTCCAGTGCTCACAGCGATGAGAAGTGGTACGACAGCGGCGAGCGCACCGAGTCCGAGCTCAACAGCTACAACTACCTTCAAGGGACTTCTGCTGACAGCGGCATAGACACAACCTCCTACGGACCTAGCCACGGCAGCACGGCCTCCTTGGGAGCAGCGACGTCCCCGCGGACAGGGCTGACCAAGGAGAAGGTGGCCCCGCTGTGGCACAGCTCCAGTGAAGTGGTCTCCCTTGCAGACAGGACATTGGAGAAGGAGAGCCACATAGAGCGCAAGGCTGAGTCCTCACTGAGCCTGGACATTCACAGCAAGAGTCAACCAGCCTCCAATCCTCTAACAAGGGAAAACAGCGCTTACAGCCTCAGTGATGCTGTCTCACACACAAGGTAATTTTCAGCTGTTTAGGAGGTGGATTGATCCCTCTGCGCTGAGTTCATCTTTGTCTCTAGCCTATCAAAAGTGACAAGTGGGTGCTGAGGAATAGTTTATACGGGTCTTAACCAGGAGGCTGAAACATCTCAGTGCATAGCATGCTTGAAAATTAAGACTACCTTTGTAAGCCATTTGTGTGATAAAGAGTAAACTTTAAGTACTACCGTTCATGAGTTTATCAGCAAGGGGAACAATCCATTTTTAATAATACTGTTTGGCCTGGGATTCTTTATCAGTCTTAGAAGTAGATGTTTAAGATGCTTTGCATTCTCCTTCCTCCCATCCCACCACAAGTCTTCAGGAAGCTGTGTGGTCATCTTAATGTATTATCCTTGCAGAGACCCTCATTTTTAGTGCCAAGGTACCTGCTCTGAGTGTGCAGCTGCAGTGCCTACAGGCTGAAAGCCTGGAGCTTTTTTTGCTGAGCTGTTTGAGCAGAGCTGCATTTAGGCAAGGCTAGGTGGTTATCAGTCACTTTAAGAGCTCCTGATACAGTAGCTGCAAATAGAGGTTGTCATAGAGATTGTAATATAATGAACCATCTCCTTGTGCTTTGTCATGATAGTTATGGCTAAAGATTCTGTTGTTAGTGGTCAAGCTCTGGTTTTCTTCCTTTCTACCAATGCAGGCACTAAAGTTAGTTTTCAGTTGGTGTTAATTCTATCTAGTGCTTTGAGGCTGGTGTTTCCAGTAGGCATGGATGTGTGAAGGGCTTAGCAAGTCTATAGGAAATGCTGTGCACAAGGATTTGGTTAAAATTTAGGCTATCTTAGTAAATATCCTCTCTTGGAGGTAGAAATCCATGTGGTAGTTATCTACAGACATATCTATGAGCATTCCTTTTTGGCATTCATAGGAATTCAGCAATTTCCCTGCAATGCTTGTCTGAATGAAATGGAGTTTCATGTCACTGGCAGATACTGTAACTGTGAAAATCTTGCACCAAATGCTGATTGCAGTGAAGTCAGTAGTATTTCAGTTTGGAAGGATTTTTTTTGGAAAGGATGAAAAGAAGCTTGGAAAATTTGTGTATAACGGCCAGAAACTTCATCTCAAAATTGTGCCTAATGGGAATGATACATTTGTACATCTGAGATTGTGGTTTCCACCTCTCTGGTCACCAAATCAGGGTTAATTCATTTGCAAGAGTGAAAAAGCCAGGAGAAATTAGGAAAAGGGGGAAAAAAAAATAAAAAGAGAGAGGGAGATCTTCATAGGGAAGGCATACACTGAGACCTCTCATCTTTATCCTCCATGGATGTACCATGGGACTTGATTGCAGGCTTAGTCTAAGATGTTGTCTCATTAGTCATGTATTATATGATGACATTATGTCTCCAGACTTGGGATGTTCTCTGGTTTATTTAGCCTACCCGAAGTGTTATTTCTATAATGATACTGGAATGGTTTGTTTCTCTAGGTCTTTTTTCAGACTTGTTGAATTTTCCAGATAAAGGTCCTCTAGATTTTCTGCTAAATTTAACAATTTTGTTCTGTTTTGTTTCAAAAAAAGACTTTAAAGATTCAGTTTTTTACTAAGAAAAGCATTAGTAGTAGAAGACATGGGAGACAGAGAAAGCTGCAGCCCTTGTACCCGCATGATTTATTCTGCAGGAGAAGACGACTGAATTCTATTCCTGCTCTATTATTTTAGCATTTGTGAATCCTGGAAGGTATTTGATACCCCAGGGTAACGTAGAGACCCAGCTGAGGCTTTAAAAAGGCTTTCCCTGTTTCTCCTGGCATTTGTTGGCCTCCCTGGCTGGCCCTGCTCTGCAGCCAGGCTGACCCAAGCCCTTTGCTCCCAGCTGTTAGGTAGGCAGAGCTGCTGGCTCAGGGAGCTGGTCTTTTAGGATACTTTGCAGTATCCTAAATAGCCTGACCCTGTAGGAGGCAAAAAGGGTTAAACTGACGCTTAGGAAATGTATCCACAGCTTGGCACCCCAGAAAGATAACAGAGGGAAGCATAAAAGATGACTCAGATCAAGCTGCTTTTGGTGAGAAGTGAGCTGCTTAATTGTTGTGTTTCTCTATAGTTTCTAAATTGTTATCCTTCATCTCTTCTCTCTTTTTACCTTTTGCCTGTAGATGCCACAACGCCTGTAACATCTTTAGAGCTGGGGTTTGAGAAAGAAGAAAAAAGCAGTTTAGCCTTAAAAAGAACTTGGTGACAAAAGGAAAGAAAATAACGACAAATTAGAGTGTTTGTGTCTTTAGAAGACAGGAGCAGTAATTAGTGTTCAGATCATTTGATTGTGCATAAAAGAGCTTGTACCTGAGAACTGGTGGCAAAATGTAAATTATAGTGATTAACTTTTACAGCAGTGCTTCTAGATGGGTTTTATTTTCCTTCTCCACCCCCATTCCCAAAGTCTTTCCTGATGATTGTGCAGATTTCTCATAGCATCCCAAGAGAACCGCATTATGTAGGGCAGTAATTATACAGAATCATTATAGCTGAATATCATTAAATGAAGCCATACACGCTGACGACATGAATTTCCTAGGGGGGGAAAATTCAAACATTCATTTCCACCTGAACAATATGGCTTCTTGTGGTCCTCTCGTCAAAAACTAAAGGGCGAGCACTAATATTTCCAATCCAATATATTTTAATTGCTTATAATATTTTAATATCCGTAAGTATTGTTGGAATATTTCTATGAATGGCTTCTATGAAATTCTTTTTCCAGATCTTCAGGTAGGATAAAACATCTTCAGTGACAGCCACAGTTCAGCACATGGCTCCTGGAGCAGCAGAATATCCTCCCAAAATACTGTATTGGGAAACTACAGCTCAAAATGTCCAATATGCTTTAATAAAAGCATATTAAAAGCTCTGTGCTAATTTTCCTGCTCATCCGGCCTGGCTACTCTTGGCATATATTATGTGCATTATATATTACAATAAATCGCATAATATGCAATGCTCATATAATAGGATATGTATAATATGCAATATAAAATATGTGCAACAATAAATTTACAGTAAATATATATTAACTATCACTTATATTATTATAATAGCCATAATAATAGAGATTTGGTTTATACGTTCACTTTATCAAGACCCCTCCGAACATTGCTTTTTATCCTCTTTGCTCCAACACCTATATAATAATATGGAGGATCAAATGCTTTCAACCTGTCTAGAAATGAGGTCTTCCCAGATCTTGGCGTGCAGTGTCAGATATATTGGACTGATGGAACAAAGTGTAGGGAATAGATTCATTACTTGCAGAGCAAAAATAATGCTGCCTATTTAGAATGGCCTTCCAAATGTATATATTTTTTAAAAAATGTATATATTTAAAGTCTGTATTACAGTGACTTCAGTTGTGTACATGTAGGGAGAGGCATCTTGCTTGCACTGTGTGGGACCACACAGGCATTCCCGTGCACACAGCTTGGAAACGTGGCCTGCAGGAGCTGGCGCTGCCGAGGGGGGAAGGCTGCCACCCACCTCAGCTCCTCATTAAATCCACAGCTCCTCGTCGTTGGGATTCATGGGGCTTAACTTTAGCCATCCGAAAATGAAACATAGAGCTGAAGACGATTTTTTAGACTCCCATCTGTTGTTAATGGAGAGCAGATCATAATTCTCCCCGTCTATCTGGGACATCTAATTTAGCAGGAGGAGAATCACCTCCTAGCAATGTTTTTCTCCCTGTTGACTACAGCAGGAGCTAGACAAGTGGCATAGATTAGATAAATGACTTATGTAAGACTAAATGCAGATGAGTTTATTTTCACAGGTGGTGACATACACTTAACCTTAAATACTTTCTGCCATTATTTCAGTTACAGAGACTTGAAAATTCGTAGTTTTATCAAAATATGAAGAGGATTGAAGAGACTGTTATTAAGCTAAGAATGAAGAGATCATTCAGTGACTTTATTCATTCTTCCAGCTGATCTTTATTTCCCTATCAGAAACTCCTCTTTACCACAAGTCCATCTTGAAGCCATCTGTTTCAAATGCTTGCTGTGCAGTGTTGGATGTAGGGGAAAATGTGCACAAGTTCTACAGAGACCTGGTAGAAAACTAGTCTCAAAAGATACTCTGATATACCAGTACTGAGTCTGTTCATGAAGTTTTGCTCTATCTGTAGGCAGAGAAGCCTGATCCTTTAAGGTGTGGCAGTAGATACTGTCTTTAACACTAATACTCCTGATATTATGCAAGTTGCATGGGATTTTTCATATCAACAGAAATAAAATAGCTCACTTCGAAAGGCTCCCACCCCCTTCCATGCCATAAGCTGCAGTTTGAGCTGCACCCTGACTCATAGCACTTTCTTAGCATGCTCCATAGCGAGGAATTCCAGCGAGCAGTTGGGCTCACGTTCTTCATTAATTCAGCTTTGATCCAGTTAATTCAGCTTGCATTTCTTTTAAACTCTGCAGTCATACACCTTAGATTTTCTGCCTGTAAGGGGAGAGGGCGATATGCTCAGTCCCTACAGATTGCTTGTGAGGGTTTTCATCATTATGCGAGATGTTTTTAATAAAACATTGGTGGAAACCCATTAAGAGCAAAGTGGTTTTCCGCTCTGCGTGCTAGTGATGAGAGTAACACTTGATGTTCCAGAGTGCTGCTTTGAAAATGCTTCCGGGTGGGCTGCCTACGTGCTTGAGGTGAGAGCTGTCTCTGTGCTTCTTCTGCAGCACCATGAGCTCACGACACTCTGCCAGCCCTGTTGTCTTCACCAGTGCCAGAAGTTCACCGAAGGAGGAGCTTCATTCTGCTGCTTCTCCACAGCTTGCACCTTCCTTCTCCTCCTCCTCCTCTTCCTCCTCTGGTCCTAGGACGTTCTACCCTCGCCAGGGTGCTACCAGCAAGTATCTGATCGGATGGAAAAAACCCGAAGGGACCATAAACTCGGTGGGGTTTATGGATACAAGAAAGTAAGAACACATTTTGGTTTTCTTGTCTGATTATTGGCTTCACATGTGAAGAGACATGAAAAATCTGTGACACTTTCTGGTATGCAAACAGCTGCAGGCTTTAATAGAATGCTTGCTCTTCCGTGGGACTTTGTCCCTAATCTCGAATTCTGTAGTTGGGTTTAAATATTTGATAGTTGACTAATCTTACTCTCCATTAATTTATAAACTTTTCCTTTAATCATTTTCAGAAAGTTGCATGGATTTCAACCCTGTTAAATTTTATAGACTGCTTCTTTGGTAATTTTTTAAGGTGACTCAAAATGTTATCTGAGCAAACATAAAGAATCTCCACAGCACAGAGGGCAATTCTTCTAAGTATTAGTACTATGTGTGCTATAAATTAGCTGTGTGTCAGTGTTGTCTCAGCTAGCCTGCTGCCAGTATCCAGCCAAACTGAATTAAACCGAAATAGAGAACTGACTTGGTAGCAAAACGGTTGTGCCTTTGAGTCTAGCTTGACTTTGGAAAGGAGGTGGTTGGGAGAGTCTATTTCAAAGTGGTTCATTCAACTACTCGTGCCTTTTGTTGGGTTAAATGCAATTTTCCTAGCTCACGTCAATAATTGGCCACCAAAAGGAATAGTGAGAATCTGTGAAAGCTACATTTAAGAAAAAGACAGTTAAAAGAATTGCAAAGCTTGATGATTCATTTGTTACTTTGGAGTTAATTTAAGAAGTTTGGGGTTTGTACAGATCATACATCACTATAATAAATACAGTCTTATATTAGGAAAATGTATTATAACCTGTACATGTATTGCAAGCAGATGCTTTTAACAAATTGCTTCCTTCAACAAGTATTCATTCCCGAGAGGCTGTGCTCTGTTATGCCAAGCCCCTTCCCTCCTCTATATCCCCACCTCGGTTTTCGCTGCGAAGGCCTTGAGGATGCCGCAATTCCCGTTTCATTGGTGCTCCTGCCCCAGGGCTTTGGGAGCTGACTGTGTGTGTCCCGTTTCGTTCAAGACGCCACCAGAGCGATGGCAGCGAGATGGCCCATCCTCGGCTGCGCGCCTCTGCGCGGGACCTGCGCGCCTCCCCGAAACGAGCCGCCAAGCCCACCGTGGAAGAGGAGCTGAAGAAGCTGATTGACCTGGACAGCCCAACGCCCGAATCTCAGAAGAACTTTAAGGTATGTTGAAGAGAATGTGTCACCCGGGGAGCTCTTGTGTAGAGAGAACTGGAAACACCGGAGCAATGGGCAGATCCTGTTCTGCTGTGACGCTTCCACTGAGATCAAGTAGAAGTGTAAACCTACTAAAGTGCACTTCAAATGAATGTGATTCCTTTGTTTTGCTGCTGCCCAGGCATATTACTAATAGAGCAGAGGGCTTCACAGTTTAGAAAAGGGTGAAAGCTAATGAAGCTTTAACTTTTCTGTGTAAAAAAAATATTGAGTTATTTCAAAGTAATCAAAGCCAACATATTCGTTCTTAAGCAGCTTTCCCAATACGCTACAATGTTGCTTGGAGTGGTTTTTTTTTTCCCCTGTCATGATAGGAAGATAAGATGAAAGACTGGAGAGTTTTCTGAATGCTCATCATGGACCAAGTCATGCATTTGCCATGGATATGTGTCTGCCGGAGGAAAATATTTGGGGAACAGTTTCATTTTTCCATTGCAAAATTATAGCAGTTTTGTGCGCAAGTTTGTGGAGACTATCATGCCTAGTTGTAAAGAACATTTTGGACTGCTGTCTTGTGCTGGAAGAATAATGAGGCTGTCTTATGCATTTGAATTGTTCTCCCTCTCTGATTGCAGCACTAAGCAGTGATGTGCTGACAGTATTGAACCTCCTCCATGCAAAAATCTTGTCTTTGTGCCTTTCTGATGCAACAAGATGCTTGTGCTTCAGCACAAGCAGCAAGAACACTTCCTGAACTTTAGCAGATAATTATTCTGTATAAATATCAGCTTAAAAGCATTTTATAGGATTTCATCATCTATACAGAAATGTAGAAGTTCATACATAAATTTTTAAAACCCCGTCACTTTCAAGAGGATGTCTTGATTTCTGTAGTCACTATGTACCAAGTCAGGCTGAACAGCTCAGACTCATCACCTAGAGCCCAAAGGGTTTCCACAGCAACTGCCCAGGAGAGAGCTTGCAACTCGCTTCACTGCTTGTAAAAACCCAGAGAGGCTGAGGAGAACTTGCAAGTGCTCCGTCCCAGGCACAGACTGGGCTACATGCTGCCTTCGAGGCTGGAGGAAAAAAACTCTGCCTGTGGCAGTAGGTTCTTTGGACTTTTTTAAGGTGGAGTTTTTAAGTGGATCTGAGGGTTGGGGTGTGTTTATTGATTTGGGGTTTTGGTTGTTGCAGGGGGAAGCTTTGGTTGGTTGGGTTTCTTGGGTTTTGTTTGTTTTGTTTTGTCTGTAGTAGTTGTTGTAGTAGTAGTAGTTCTGTGAGGGGAGTGAGACATGGGTGATGGGAACATCTCCTGTGAGCTATTTCAAACAAGGGAATTATTCCAAAAAGTTCTGCCCCATTTCAAGAGGGCAACCTATAAACAGCATCTTTTTTCCCAAGTTTGCTGTTTTTTGCATTGGGGTCAGTAAACTATTTCTTACCTTAATCTTTATTTTCTAGTGACTCTATCAAGTACTTTGGCTCAGGCTACGGTTTGATAAATCTCAGCACGTTTCTAATGTGCCATCACATCAATAAATCAAATGTTCTATGGTCTAGGCTGCAGTTTTTTATCATTTTTTCTGCCTTCCTATCTCTTTGCCTTCTTCTCACACATTATGTCTTAACAGATAAGCCATTCTTGTTCTCTCCTCTCTGACAGCTCTGAACTAGAAGGCAGCTCCTACACATACGGCCTCTCCTCCATGAGGTGTTTGTATTTATGTTGTCTTTAGTTTAAAGGTCTGATGTTAATTGGTGGCTCCAGTTCTTAATTCTTGGGTAGACTTTGGATCCTTTAAGTAAACTGTAGGACCCTCAAGTAAGCAGTGGGTGGCTTTGGTAGCTCGCTCTTTTTGCTCTCTTGCATCCGGGCAAGTGACTTGATAGCAGATCACGATGTTGAACCTGCTGATGAAGCTTTTAAATTGCACAAGAAAATGGTAACTTGATTCTCAGTCTAACGTACTGAGAGCTGTGTCTTGAAAGCTGTCGTTCCTCTGGTGTTGAGTGTGCATGCACGGTTCACATGGTGATAGGCACAAGTTCTGTCATGAGGTTGTGTAATAGGAATAACATGGGATAATAGACATAATAGAAAGTCTGCGTGGAACATAGCTGCTCTTTCCTTCCTTGTCTTCTGGTGAGAACAGTCTTTTTAAATAATTGGTCTGTAAAAGCAAAACTTGCAACAAATTTTATGAAAGGTTTTAATGGTTTTGGCATTTTGTCCGTCCTCCACACTCCTCTCCCACTTCCTTGTGTGGGTTTTTGATCACAGGAATAGAAAACCGTCTGCTAAACTTTTTTTCCCCTTTTTCTGAGAAGTATTTTTCTGTGCAAATGAGCAACTCTTTATGATGCTTAATCACAAGGGGTTTTTTTTCCCTCAAAGTTGAATTACCTCTTTTAGTTTACATTTACTTACAGAACAAGTAAGGCTGGTGACCCTGTTCTGCCGACCAGTGTTCAGGAGAAGCTTTGGGATCGGGTTTCAACCAAACTGGGAATGTAGGGGTCTCAGAGAGGGTTGTATTGCTACAGGATTCATGAAAGTTAGTGGTGGGCAGAGCAAGGAATTGGTGGCTCTGCAGAGGGGACCATCTCAGCAACCCAGTGGCCAGGGACAGTGTGGGCCTGGCTCTGGATTAAACGCGGCCTTGCTTCTCCTGCCTGGGCCATGCAGGAAGCTGGGATTGGGATGGGTGTGGAATGCAAGTTCTCCTGGTCATGAAATGAATTGCTTGGTTTTTATTCAGCATTCCAGAGAATTCAACAGGTAGTGGCAGTTCCTCGTAGTGATAGGAGGCTCTTAGCTGGCATCTGCTGGGGCTTTCTTTGCAGGAAGGCAGTCTCACCAGGCCAGAAGGAGCCCTCCACACTGAGCAGCATTCAGTTTGGTTTTGGCAGCTTTATCTACACTATCTACTCCTAATGTCTTCTTTTTTTGCATTCTTTCTGTATCTTAAAATACACCTCGTTAGCTAGCGCCACTTCCCCACAGACCTCCCCAGCTGCCGTGCTGACTTTTCTTTTCCTTTTCCCGGTGCCGTGCGTGCCCGTGCAGTCGCACACGCTGTCGTGCCAGTCGCCCTTCCCCAGCACGCCCACCACGAGGCGCGCCTTGCAGAGGACGCTGTCGGACGAGAGCATCTACAGCGGGCAGCGGGAGCACTTCTTCGCCTCGCGGGCCTCGCTCCTGGACCAGGCCGTGCCCAACGATGTCCTCTTCAGCAGCACCTACCCTTCTCTCCCGAAGTCGCTGCCCTTGCGGAGGCCCTCGTACACTTTGGGAATGAAATCACTGCATGGTAAGGGTGGTTCCTGCTTCCAGAGGAATCCGTAGTGGCTATTTCAAGGGTAAATGTTTGTTACAGCAATTAGTACTTTAATAAGATAAGGGGAGTCAAATCAAGTAACTTCTTTGTTTTGTTTTTCCCCCCTCACTTCAGTGGGTATAAGATAGCAGTTAGTTGCCTTATGGAGGGAGAAGAAAAATTTGCCTCCTTAGCTGTTAGTTTTCAGCACTATCTCCAGGAGTCACCAGGACTAGTCAGACCAAAGGGAAAATAATGTATTATGTGTACTGCCTGCTTCAGGTGTCAGCTGTCTAATAACAGATTTATAGAAACAAAGTACCATTAAAAAAAGAGTGATACAAAAGCGGATAAATGCAAGTGGAAGTTTGACATAGAGCTGCGCTATAGATACAGCTTCTACTGAGTTTTTAACTCAGTTCCTTACCTTATCCATCAGAGTATTGATGGATAGTGATGGAGAGGAAGGCGATGCTTGATTTTGCTTCATTTAAAAACCTGTAAAATGGGCCTGCATCATGAAAGGAGCAATTCTTCAAGTGACACCTTCTGCCACCTCCTGCCTTTGCTGAGTGGAAGCTTAGGTAGAACTGGGTATTTAACACCACAAGTGTCTGTTGACTTCTGAATAGCTATTCAGAATCCTTTGAATAGGAAGATCTTTATTAAGAACTGCTCCTCCATAGCACCTTCATGGGCTGTGAACAAGGAAGTATTGAGCATATATAGTAATATATCTTAATTAGCAGTTCAACTCATATTCAATTCATATTCATCTAACTTCTGTATAGAAGAGCCAAACTCAAAAAATAATTTAAAAAAGTAAAACCTGAGATTTTTGAGCAAAGCAAATGAATGTAGTAATTCATATATTTGTTTCCCAACAGAAATATTTCTTAGCTAGAGTTATTAGAAAGAAATTAACAGCCACTTTGACATTGCTTTATTTTTCCCATAGCATGCCCTGTGCTAGTTTGTGAATGTGTGCGTGCTATTTTTCAGTAAAGGTTAATAGATTTGGCTAAACTACTAGGGGGTGCAATGATGTGGGTTATGTGTGTGTCGATACAGGAGCCTTACCCAGTACTGTGGAGAGCCAGGGGTTGGTTTTGTAGTCTTGAACCGCAAAGATTCAGGTAGAATATCTACCAGGACATTCAGATCCCTATTGGAATTGGCCTGTATTGGAAAAGTGGTTTATAACATACCGTGTCTGGTCAACTGCAGCTGATCAAACATCTTACCAAGTTGTTCTGCATCCAAAAACCCTATCCTAAAAAAAAATAAGAATAAGAATGCTTTTTTATTAAGAAAGGATTTTTTTCCCTTGTGGTTTACTGTTTGTTCTGCCTTATTCTAGGGGAATTCTCTGCCTCAGACAGCTCCCTCACAGATATGCAGGAGCAGAGGCGGCAGCCCATGCCAGACCCTGGCCTGATGCCCTTGCCTGATTCTGCCTCTGATCTGGACTGGTCAAACTTGGTGGATGCTGCCAAAGCTTTTGAAGGTGAATTTTCAGAAAACAGTAATCCTTGGAAAGCTGCTCTCTTTGTATGGTCTTCCACTAAGGATTGTTTCTTAAATCTGTCTCTCGCCTTCATTTTTGCTGTTGCTATTTCGACTTGGGGTGAAGTTTAAACTATTTCAAAGCAGCAACTGACGGCTCAACAGCCCAGTACTTTGTTTGCATTTAATATTCAGATGCCAGGTCTTCATACTAGAATCCGCCTGTGCTGCATTTTGGCCGGATCTCTGTGAAAGCAGCTACTTGCCTTTAATGTAAACCAGTCACAGAGATCACAGCTAGTGTGGAAAAACATCTGGCACAAAAGTGCAAGGAGAAGCCAAGGAGGGGGAACAGGGACAGGCATATTTTCCGCAGCAGGGGAAAAGCATATGGACACACTAATGGCTGCTTATTGCACTAGCGAGAAGTTTCTGTGCTTCAGCTGACGTGCCCTGCCAAGGTAATTTGGGAAATGTGCCTTGTTGGCACATAGTTTCCCATTGCCATTCCTTCCCCCTGCATATCCTAATACGTAGACTTGCACATAAATGTCATTTCATCCTATGGTAATTTCCATCTCTTTGACACTTAATAAATTGAACTATAAGCCACTTAGATGCTTCTGAATTTAAAATAAATTATTCTTCAGCCCAGAGGGAGCTTACCTTGCAGTTGTTATAATCTGATGGAAAATTCTTCTGGGCACATTAAGCACAAGTGCCTTTGCCAGTATCTGGATAAGTGTTGTTCTGCCTTCACGAAGCTGGTTCCACTGATCCTTGCTCTTTTGGACATACATTTTACATGGTAGAGGAAGGCCGTGAAGTAACTTGCTGTCTGTTGCTTCCTGTTCTCTGGGAGGAGCTATATATATTAAGATGGTGCATGTATAGGCCAGTGTTCATGACACGTATACTCTGCTTGTGGGGTCAGCATGAACAACATTGCTGTTTCAAAAGTCTACCCTTTTCTTTGCTGCATTTGGCTCTCAGCATCCTGAACTTCTCACTTTTGCAAGCCCCAAACTCGCTTGTGTTTTTCTTCAAGAGTGTGAACAAAGTGTGTGGAAGGTAACAACCTGACAGCCCAGAGCAAGAAAAGCTGGGCAACGTGTTGGCAGCTTCATCTCGCTGCTGCAAAAATATTTTCAAATTTGCCTCAGAAGGGAACAGCTCCATGATGCCAGTGTAATTCCAGCCTGTAGCCTCTGCCTGGGCGCCAGCAGCTACCAAGCAGTCTAAATAATTCTGGGTTGTGATTCAGGAGACCTCTCCTCTACGCGGTTGCTTGATGGCTTCAAGCAAAAGCCTCTAGAGTTTTAAGCAGTGATAAGTGCAGACAGCTAGAGCAAAACCTGCCTGGATTCCTGAGCTGCCCTGACCTCTGGTATTCTGCTCCAGAGAAGGAGAGGAGCAGGCCAAGTTCCATCTCAGCTAGGGCATGTGCAGCTAAGGATGTAGTGCCAGCACAGAAGAAAACATTCGCCAAATAGAAAAAGCGAGTGTTGTTCTATTTCCAGTCAGAGGCCAGCAGCTGCTGGGGGAAAAAGATGCTAATTTATTAACATCAAAGTGTTTGTGTTAACTGCTTGCACCGTGAGACTCCAGAGGTGGGTGGCTGGGTTGTGGGTCGGCTGCAGTCACTCTCCAAGTAATAGTCATTTAGGGATGTGTTAAAGCCATAAGTGAGCAGTTATAATACCAAAAATAAAGGAAAAAATAATAAAAGTATAGAATTAATGCAGGGGAAATTAAATCTCAGTCTGAAAACATGTTACAGAAATGGAAAAACAGAAATGAGGAAAACTTTCTAGTTCTGAAAACTGACTCTGATGAGTTTCCTATCCACATGGTGGGCAGTGAACTTTCCCGTCCTCAGGATAGATGTTTTATGGAGTGAAGGAGGCAAATGCAGGGATACTGAGTTGCTGGGTAGCATTGTGCAGTGGTCCCCGGGAGTCCGGGGCAGGGCCTGTGGATCCAGCTGGGTGTCCTGCGGGACCAGGACGTCCTTGGCTGGACGCGGCCGGCACCGCTGCCGTTCCCAGCTTTGCTCCTCCGAGCGTCTCCCGTCCGGGAGCCTGTGGGTCACACGGGAGCTGCACGGATCATCATGCAGTGATCTGCCAGAGCTACTGCATGCACGTCGAGTCCAGAGAAACGCACAACCTGACACAGGCACTTTGCATGCCAGTTTACTTCTGTCACATGTCACAGCCTTATTTTGAGACCCGTTGCTTAGATCCCTTTGGTATCCTGCAGTGCAGGAATTACACTGCCCGTGAGCACCTAAATCATCATTACGGCCTTTGTTGCTCTCCCCTGCCTGTGTCGTTTCAGTTCAGCGAGCTTCATTCTTTGCTGCTACTGATGAAAACCACAGGCCGGTGAGCGCTGCCTCCTGTGACCAGGCTGAGGACCAGCTCACTGCACAGATAAAGCCTTACACAGGGTAAGTAAATAATTAGGTAGGTCGCTTTTACTGGGGAGGAGAGCAGAACCTCTCTCTTTGGAAGCCACCCCTAGCCCTCAGAGAAGACCTCTTCTCACAAATCCTCCTGAAGAAGCAGGGAGCATAAGTAGTGTGTAACCTCTGTGCAAGTTTGTTTGTCCCAGGCTATGGTATTACCAAGCATATATAGGAAGCAGAAGCAGAGAGAAACCAAGTGATGGGATGACCCCCATTGCTTACATGTGAACTTTCTGTCCATTAATCTGCTGCACGTTACATGCTCTCTTTTTGTTAGGTATGTTTTGCTAGTGCTGTGCATCTATAACGTTCCTTAGCATGCACGTATACAAAGCTATTTGGTATAGATAAGGCTGTTAGGCTATTTGAAGACAGCAGATCCTGTCAATACTGGTTTTGTTTTCTGCTCTCAACAGTAAAGAATCTCCTCCAACTCTTGCCTCTAAAGTGGACCAACTGGAAGGTTTACTGAAGATGCTACAAGAGGATTTAAGGAAGGTAAACGTTCAATCTACAGAAAATCTGCTACGGCGTCTGGTTTTAGTGCTGATTAGTGTTGCTAATTGTGTGATCCATCTTTGCCATGCCTGAGCCTAAGCCTCATTCCTCTGTGAGGAAAACCATATTTTTACTACTTTTATCGAGCCATAGTTCCAGTCATGCAAGGTTAGGGGCGAGTGTCTAAATGGTAGGCGTCTGATTCCTGCTTGAATTGGGAGGGTGATTCAGAGCACCTCCACTCCTGATTCAGGCTGCCTGAAGTTGCATGTGAACATTTCCTGCTGATATCAGAGGATCTGCAGCAACATCTAAACATGTGTTTTCTGCTGCGGAAACATTTTCTATTAAGCAGATGCCTGCCTTGATGCCAGAAAGGCTTACTGTGGTCAAATGAAGAGTCTCCTGTGTGGCATTACAGAAATGTTTCCTATCTCTGTTTAGAGAACAACCATCAGTCACTGAACACACAGAAGGCAGCAGTGAAGGCAGCACCAATAGGTTTATTTCATCCCTTCGGGAGCCAGCTTCCGTTTGAGAGTTTAATGTAGAGAAATCCCATTCATACAAGCCTAAAGTGAGGGATGAAACGCCACAAATGTCCCAATAGTGTAAAACATGTGGTAGTGCACGTAAAGCTCTTACAGACCACGAGCCTCGCGCTTCATAGCAGACTCCTGCCTGTTGGCGTAGGTGGGATGCGTGACCCGGCGTTATAACCAAGCTGTGCGTTTTGTTTCTTGCCTAAGGAGAAGGAGGACAAGGCCAGTCTCCAGGCTGAGGTGCAGCATTTGCGGGAGGACAACTTGCGGTTACAGGAGGAATCGCAGAACGCAACGGAGAAACTGAAAAAATTCACCGAGTGGGTTTTCAACACCATTGATATGAACTAAGAACAGCGTGCGGGGAAGCAAACTGTCCGTTGTGAATATTATTAGTGGACTTCAGCTTTAATGCCACCTTAATCATGACATGTGAAAGTATAGTCAGAGCACTTCCCTGTCCTTCATCCTCCAATAACTCTTTTTGGCATCTCTGCGTGCACTCGGAACAATTGCAGATCAACAATCAGTGTCTGCCTTTTGTAGAAAAACAAAGTAAATAATTTTAAAAAGGTAAAATAAAAGTTTAACTGCTAAAATGTGAATGTCTATTTTTTGCACATTGTCTCTTTATCTGTTATGTACAAAATGATTCGGAGGTTGGATCAGGTTTGCCGTTCTATCTGCCTCTATTTCCATTAACTCTTTTCTCTCTTTTTCAGGTAATCTGCTTTTCCTTGCAGCTTTGGCAAATATTATGACATCTAGAAAATTAGAAGGAAATGTTTATTTTACTGCTTTTCTTACGTTGTTTTCTGAAGTACGCCACAGACAAGGGGATGTCATGCAACGTTTTAGGTGTCTCTTGAGCAATTTGCGCTTGATTGCTAGTGCTGCCCTCCCATACGTTACAGAGAGCCTGTGTCTGTCGTGTCTGGTACAGTACAAGCAGCAGCGTAGTATTTGAAGAGACTGGAGCCTAGAGCTCCAGGTGGGGCGAGTTTCCTGTGGAAACAATGGCTGCAAGTAAGTTCAGGAACAGCAGAACTAGCCGTGCTGCAGTCCATAGTGTATCAGGCTGGCCCAGAGATCCCGAGCCCCTGCCCGGCCGGGGGAATCTGCTGCTTGCAGACGTGCAGAAGATGGTGGCTGACGTTGTAAAGAGAGAAAGGTTTGTGTTTGGTTGGGTTTGTTTTGTTTTGTTTTTCCCTTGAACTCTGTGTTTCCCAGAAAATCCACACAAACCATTTCGGAATTTCAGCGCACCTGCCTTCCCATTTCATTCCTCCGGACTACTCAGATCATAGCAGCTTTGAGAAATGTTTATTAATCTTGTCTTTTACTCTGTTAGAGGCCTTCTAAATCCTGTAGTGTCACAAATGGAGGAATAGATAAAGGTAAAACTAGAGAAATGTGTTTTTTTCAAAGCAATGGGTTAAAATTGGAGCTACGAAATTCCACATCCCAGTGACACTCCAGCATGCGATTTCCCAGCCTGCTAGGTAACAGGAAAGGTAATTTTTCCTCCTTCGAAGGAAAAACTAACTTACCCCAACATATCACCTCTCCAGAACATCTCTCAGGAGTCAAAATAGGACTTGCAGGCACTGCAGCCTGCACAGCCCTGAGCCACGCAGCAGGCTGAGAAAGCTTCCCTGCTCCCCACCTGCATGCGGTCACTACCTTAATAAACATTGCCCTGCATAAGGTGCAGTGTGTTTTGAGATTAACTTCCAGAGCATCCTCTCCTTTGCCATGCTCTCAAATAAACAAAATCCTCAGGCATGGTCTTTCCACAGAAACTTCAAATCCATCTCTTGAAATCCCTTTTTCCACACTCTTTGATTGTGCCCCACACAAGTACACACTGCGCTTCCACCTCAAACTTCATTTGTGATGCTAATCCCCACGGAGTTCTTCTCTACCGTTTTGTCATGGAAATGGATTTCTTTGGAACTATTTCTGGAGTGCTTTTGTAAAGGTTTAGAATGTTCTGGGTTTTTTAATGACTTGTATGAAGGAGATTTATATAATGCCTGATATTATTTGTAAATGGGAAATATTGCTAACATCTCTGAGCATCCTGAAGTCTTGCTTATTCTCTTGTTATTTTTAAGTTTGTTTTGGGTTTTTATTTTATTTCAAAAAAATATTTTGGGACTTGGGGCAGACTATTTATTAGAGTTTTGCAACAGAGTTCTTCTTGTATGATGCCACTCAAGGCTACTTGTAAAATTCTGACAATAAAACTCATTTTAAAGGCTCTTCTAAACCATTTTCTCGTGGTTTTATTGGGTTTGTAGTTTACAATTTTCCGTTGTTCGGTTTCTTCCCCATTTCTCCCTGTATCACCTTCCCTAGTGCTTTGAGATTGAAGAGTTTCCATCAGTTTTCTTCTTTTTCTCCCTTTAAGGGCCGTTATTTGGTGACTTTTTTGCTTGTGTTAGTGCACAAGCCTGTGCTTCCCCCACTTACAGCACTCCTTTTGCTTTATTTTCATATTTTTGTCTCCTGTAGTGGCTTGTCTGGCGTTTCTGCCCACGGCCCCACGCAGTTGCAGCATCCCGGAGCCCATGTGCAGTGTGCGGCACTGGGTGCTCCTTTAGGGGCAAGGAGGGATGGCAGCAGATACAGTTTTTCCAGATCTCCTTGGATGGAGAGAATGACCTTGGAGCTGTTTTGAACAGACCTTTCCAAGCCCAGGGCACTGGCATTCTGCACCGCTGGAAAATGTGGAACTGGCTCTGCAGGAAGGCACCTTCCTGCTTCATTGAGCGGGTCCGTTAAAGGCACATGGGAAAAGAAAATCCCTTTCTAGCAGTGAAATACTTGACCAAGAGAAATTTTAGTCAGCAGGGATAAATACAAGCATCAGATTGAAAAAAAGAATGTTGAATTTGGGAGAGAAAAGTAGATGCCCCCTTGCCAGTTGTAGTAAGTTCCTGGTACCTGAACTGGAGGCAGTTTCCTGCAGGTCAAGGAGTTGTCCTGCCCGTGCTCATAATTCATTAGCCCGGGCGGTTCCCCAGCTTTGCCGTGTGTGGGTTGGCAGGCTGGCCTGGACAAGAGCAAGATCCAACTTGCCGGCTTCTCCGACAGCCTTGAGTCATTATGTGTTGGGCTAAGTAGAAAACTGGTTTCCTCTGTGAGGGGTGTAGGTAGAAAGGGCTGTCTTCATATTTCATGACTTTTTTTTCCCCAAAAAAACAAAGATATAGTGAAAATGCCTGTTTCAGTTGCTGTTCTCCCTGTAATTCAGTGTTTTGGAAGGCCAAAGGCAGCAGAAAGGCTCCCCTTGCACCCGCCCTCCAGGGGCTGCAGCTGCTGGCCGCACGATGGAAGCGAAGCCGAGCACATGGAAGCAATGCCACTGGCATGAGAGGTCTCTGGGGAGCCATGTATCCTGTAATGGGGATGGAGTTGGGATGAAAGGCAGCACATTTGAGTTTTGCTCCTCTAAAAGTGCGGTTACTGCATTACAGACTATTATTTTTGTGAACGCTGTGATGTGTTCCAGACCTGGATGAGTAGGCGTTGAGAGAAAGCATTTTTTCCCTTAGCTTTTCCTTGTGCAGGAAAGGCTCCAGCAAATGTTCCTCGTGAAGCAGCACAGCTGAGAGGTGTGGGGGTGTTGTCTACTTTAAACCCCCTTTTCTCATCTCACGGCGCCGTCCCTGGGGCTGTTAACCCTCTTTGAAGCGCTGCCTCGTAGGAGAGGCTGCAGCGTGGTCACAGCCTGGTCACCAGCAGGGACAGCTGCTGTTCCCCAGCTCCTGTTGGATCGAAACGGGATCCCGCGGGGCAGAGGCGGCCCCGTGCAGGGGAGCGGAGCCGTGCGCCTTGCCGAGGCGGCCGCTCGCGGGCCGGGCCGGGACGATGCAGCGGGTGAGGGTGCTCCAGCGCTTCCCGCTTTCAGCTTTGCTCCCACGTGCCGCTTTGCTCCACAAGCGCTCCCAAAACCACAGCCAGAGGGGCTGCCATGCTCGGCCTTCCAGCAGCCGGGAATATCGCAGCCAGGAGGCTGGAAGGGACCTCCGGAGGCGTCTGGTGCAGCCTCCTCCTCCAAGCGGGGACACGCGTGAGGTCGGACGAGGTGGCTCCAGCTGCGTCTTGTGAACCTCCGAGCGTGGAGCTGCCGTAACCTCTCTTGGGGCTCCTTCCTCCGTACCTTCTTGCAAGATGCAAATCACTTGGCTGTATCAACCCCCCTCGGCTATTTTTAAAGTGTAGATATGTGTTATTTCTCCGTAGCCGTTTGTGTGTGCTAGCACTAGTGAATTCCCTACATTGCGGTTTGGATTCTTTTCTAGATATTTCTCATTTTTCTAGCCAGTTACGTTTATTTATATTCTACCCGAGCCCTGGATGGAGCCGCCAGAGCCTGCTGTGCATTGCACTGATAGCAGGAAGGCTGCACGTGCTGCCAGATGGGGCACCGCAGCCACGGGGCAGAGGACACTGACCAGCTGAAGGAGACCCAGCAGCTTCCAGGATCCACAAAAGTCAAGTGCTGAAGCGAGAGGGTGTCCCCAGGACCATAACTGGGTGTAGCTTCCTAACCCCATGTTGTGATAGTCACCAATGTCACCAAATAGTAACTGAACGTGCTCCCATTCTGGCAGCAAAACTGGCTGAAAGGTGACAAGGGATTCAACCCAGTGGAACGCTTCCCCTAGCAGAACAGCCTGACTGCTCGCTTTGTGCAGGGGCTCAGGACAAACTGGCACTGTTGTTGCCTCTCGTGCCCATAGCTGAGGTTGCTTTCCAGCTGGAGCTGGGAAGTCATCTGATAATTTATCTGTATGGAAGGATCAAGTTATGTCCTGCCCAAAAACTGTGTAGAGAAATAAAGCCTGGAACGTGCCTGCCCACATACACCAGAAACAGCTGATGAGCACGTGCATGGCACTTCATTCCCTATGGGTTTCTGTGTCTCTGGATAGCTCAGCATCCTCCTGCGCATGGAGGAGCACCCCAGAGCTCGGCCACACTAAATTCTGCTACAAGCATAGCAGGGATCACAGCTTGGATTAGATTTCATAGTGTCTGTTTCTTCCCTGAGCCATCACATGCCTTCTTAAAGGAAGGATAATAAATATCTCTGTATTCATCTTTAGAATCCTTTGCCTTTGCTTTTTTTGTTTGTTTTTACAGGAGGCTCTTTAAGCTGATTGTGTGCAAATGAATACATCTGACAAACGATACTTATTCCTAGTCACTGCTTAACAGGGGCAGACTAATGTCAGCCTTTAAGCATCTAAGCATCATCCCTGGCACTGCAACCTATGAGCCCTACTAGGATTATTGACTGGTGAAGGTCTTTGTGGTCTTCCTCACTTTACACCTTTCTGCTTATGTTCAACATGCAGCATAGACTGGGGAAAGAGGAGAGATAGAGCCAGTTGCTTCCTTACCAAGTGTTTGCTTCTTGTTGTTTATGTTTGCCTGTTTTGCCTTTCTTAGGACTATTGAAACTGGAGAGTTTCCATGCATGAGATTTTCAAGATGATCTGTAAGTCTTGTCTTGATCTCTTCTCATAGAGAGCAAACCTCTAAGAGCTGCTGTGTAAGTCACTTGTTCTCTCCACTTTCTGGAGACTGTTCAAGCAGTTACATCTATAGCATGGAAAATGGTTTCCTCCTTGTCTGTGGTTTCTCTTTCAAGGCTTCCCAACCTAAAATCTGTGTTGAAACTAGCATTAGTCACATGCTTTGGTTTGTTTGCACTGATTTCCCAGTTAGTTCTCAGGTGATTCAGTTTTCTATTTGAAAAAACTATTTATACCAGCAACTTCTAGGCAGGTTTGTTTTCTAACATGAGCAATCATGCAGTCAAAATATGGAATCCATATCAGTCTACATAGAGGAGATGCATCAGAATTACATGCACTGAGAGTTTCCACTCCACTGTAAGATGTCCTCTCCAAGTGCTGCCGTTTCTGCTCTCTTGGGAGAACTACCTGATCCATGCCTTTGTGGCTGGACTGGTCACAGTTGAAGGGCTGGAGTAGGAAGTGCCTCACTGTAAAGTGCTGGTAGGCACAAACGTCCCCTCCTGAGGACAAGAGATAGACAATTTCCCCACACGACATCGTTAGAGCAGCCGCTGCTGCTGGCCTGGACAGGAACCCTTGAGGTGTTTTCCCCGAAACCTAGTGGCCAGCAGAACTGGAAAAACCAGGACTTCCCTCCGTGAGGCACCGATCATTTCATGAGAAGAGAAAAGGGAGAGGCAGGCTGAAACTCTGCGTGTAGGAACACCCCGTCCCATCTCTGCTGCTGAAGTCTCCTGAACCAGAAGTAGCAGCAGTCTTGAAAAATGCCTTGGAGAGCTAGGAGGAATATTTTGCTTTGCCTTCAGGAAATTATCTTTTGTTTTCGCTCTCCTTCCTTACGGAATGCTACCTACTTGCAGGCTAGCCCATTTTAGAGTAGGCCGTGTGAATTTTATACAGTGTAGACTTGCAAGGATCAATCGGCACTATGTAAATATGCAAATAAGAGCCTTAGTGGTTTCACAGAGCCCTGCAACGGGTGAAACGCTGAATTCCTGCCGGCTCCTGCACTCCAGAAATGGCTCAGCTTTTCCAGAGGCTCCAGAGGCCTCGCGGAGCCTGAGTGGTGTTTTCAGAAGCGCCTGAGCAGCCGAGGTGCCAAACCCAGCATAAGCCTGAGGTTCTCCTGCAAATACCATCAGGGTCCTGCAAATACCCTCAGGGGCCTTGCGCAGCGCCAGACGTCGGCCAGCCTTGCGTCCATGCTCGAGGCTGAGCCTGGGAATGGCTGCCTGGCCCTGTTCTGCACTGCTGCGTTTGGAGCTGCAGTGGTTAAGCTCAGCTTAGCCGGCCTTCACGCTTGGGGCAGTAAGTGGATGGCCTCTGCAGCTCCTAACGAGCTTTCCCTGTGTGCACCAAGCTAGGCACGGGCAGAGAGCGCGGTGGGGGCTTTGCCAAGGGTAGGATGCAGCCTTGGTGCAGCAGCCTGAGCCAGGACGCCAAATCCTGGGGTCCAGGCCCTTGCCACATGCATCCCGGTCTCCCGCTTTAGTCTCCCGCTTTACCTCCTGTCCAAATCCAGCTAGTTCTTGTCAGCAGAACTTGCCTTGTT